TTTATTTTAATGCTTAAAACATCTAGTACCCCTCAAGATCATTGGATTCTAAGAATCACACCAAAATTTCTAACTTGTTTTTAAACTCAACCAATGCTTCTAATCTCTTATTTACCACTTTGCCAAGTCAAAACTACTAATAATCATCAATAAACACCAATATAATAACATATCATTTCGAAACCCATTTTCTAAAATCTCTATTATTTCCACCATTTCTTAGTTTTAATCTCATTTAATCATTCCTTAAGCTTCTATCATACTCCAATCTTCAATCACCAACCTAAAATAAAAGGATAAACCATCAAATTGGAATCTCACCTTTAGTTAGGGTTGAGGGCTTCTTACGTGAAAGAGGAAGAAGAAGAGAGTGTTAACTTTTTCTTTTTCCCCTCTCTCCTTATTTCTCTACATAATATACCATATAGAATGAATTTTAAATTAATTTTATTCCAAATACCCAAAAATGCCCTTTTTAATCCTTCATCACTACAATTTAGTCTAAACTACTATTCACAACTCATTCTCATCTTTATCAATTAATTAATTTAGTCCTCCAAAATTTTAAATTCTTTCATTCACTGACCTATTATTTGGGGTGTTACATAAGGCTTAACCACTATACCAACTTAAATTTTTGGTATAATTTTACAAACATAATACGAGTCACGTATTTCCAATATTATTTTTAAAAAATCCATAAAATTATTAAGATTCCCTAAAAACGCTTTAAATTTCAGAAAATCTCAAAAAACTCCTAAATTCCTAAAAGCTAAAAAAATCCTATATTACTCAACAAAAACTATTATTATTATTTTCAAATGTTAAAATATTTTTTTCAAATGTTAAAAAATAACTTTTAAAAATATTTTTAGTAATAATATACATAACATGAGTCGATGGACCATTTTGTAAATTCAAGGCATTTTTTAAATGTTAAAAAATATTTTAACATTTGAAAAAATATTTTAACATTTTCATATGTTAAAAAATTGCCCTAAAATATATTTTTAACATTTGAAAATATATAATAATAGTTTTTGTTCAATAATATAGGATTTTGTTGGGAAATATGATGCTCTATCGATCAACCGAAAAAGTGTCAAGAGGGGGTAAATTGGCTAAATAAAAATTTTGGGAGTATGAAGAGAAAATATAGAAAATTTGCACAAGTATTTAGAGTGGTTCAACTTCCTCAATAAAGTTTACATCCACTACCTTAGCACCACACTAAGGATTTTAACAAATTCACTAATTTGTTCTTTCTTTTTCTAGGCTTTAACTTTTTACAACTTCGTAGTTTTCAATGGCTAAATTAGAAAGCAACATCTTTTTCAAAAGGATAAAAGGAATGTAAACAAGAAACCTCCCAAAGGAATGTGTTTACAAATTAAACTCACTAAAAACACACTATTTATAAGAGAGAATGAAGATAAAGAATTAAGGTTATTATTTTGATGATCAATGCTTGGATAGGTATTGTGTCACCTTCTTCAAGTGTCTTGAACTTCATTTTATATGTTTGAATGTGTTTGTGACTGTTTCTAACCGTTGAAGATGTTTTGGAGCCGTTGGGACTTAATTGATGCAAAATAAAACTGCTCAGACCAAAGAGTATCAGTACTCGGGCTTGAAGTATCGATATTGCACGAGTACCGATATTGCACTAATAAAAACTAGTCATTTCTCAACCGTTGGGTTGTGAGTATCAATACTGAGGTCATGATATCGATACTACTATACAAAGTAGTATCGATACTCCTTTGAGTATCTGTATCAAAAATACTTACTAGAATCTGAACACATTTAAAACAAATAGGAAGTATTGATATTGCCATGAAAGTATTGATACTTCCCTTGCCTTGGGTATCGATACTACAAGAACAATATTGATATTGTTCATGTGGTATCGATAATGTAAGAACAATATTTATACTTCTTTTCTAGAAAATCATTTTTTGTTCAAAATCAAGTTTATGGATTTTAAATTATTTTTGAAAACTTTGAATAAATTCAATTAGTTCAAAAACATTTTTGCCCATAAAATTGTTATATCAAAATATGTTCAACATATTTTTTTACTTTTAGTAATTTAAGAGTTTTATTGAGATTTTCTGGAATTTAAAATATTTTTTAGAAAATAATATTTGAAATATTTGACTCATGTTATGTATATTATGTTTGTAAGATTATATTAAAAATTTAAATTTATACAGTGGTTAAGCTTAAACCTTTATAGCTAAAGGTATTGGGTTCAAAACCCCTAAGTGCATAATTTTACTAAATTTTTTTAAAATAAAATTAATTTATTTTGTGATTTTTAGCTCCAAACATGATCATGTCAAAACGAAGACGTTTTGATATGATTGTCATGTTAGCAACGTCATGACACAAGATTTTCATGTTATCGTCCCGTTAGATCATTAATGACAGAATGATATAATTACACATAAAAATAAATTTTAGTGCTAAAATTAATAAAACTAAAATATTAACGATATAAACGAGTATGAACTTTACATTTATTTTTATTATAAGTGTGCAACGCGTGACACAAAGGGTAATATAGTAAATTCGAACAAAAAGGGATTCGATTAGTATTTGGTCGGGCTGATTTCAGCAGATTTCAGGACGCATTTTTTCCTCTGCTTCAAAAGCTTTAACTTTCCCGAATTTCGAACCATTACATGTTTCTGTAATCAGCCTTACTAGCAGGTTTTCTCTTTATTTCTTTTCCCCCTCTTTGGGAATGTAATTTTATTTTGTCATTTCTATTTTATTGCGGAGAAATAAAAAAAGGAAAGTATTTTTTTTTGGGATTTTTCTTTTGTTTTTGGGGTGTTATTTTATGATTTTAGGAAGGTTGGTTTTGATTGGTTGCTATTGTTTCTTTCTTATTAGAAAATATTTAGTCTTGAAGATCTAATTAGATATGTGTGCAACGAGACAAAATGTATCTAAGATAAGCTTTGCCTTCATGGGGTACTGAAGAAGGCGTTTACAATGATAATGACTTATTTGGATTTGAAATTGGGACTTTTTTAGTAAATTTGGGGATAATGTGATCTTTGGTGAGAGAGGAAGTTGAGGGACTTCAATTTATGCGTTACGTTTCTTCTAAATTCCAAGTAGGAGAAAAGAAGGGTAAACTCTACCCTCTTTGGCTATCTTTTCTTTATACTATTCCTGACTAAACTATAACTTTACAGAGTTGTATTCTTCTTCTGTGGTATCTAAGATTAGAAGTACTTAATTTTTTTGGGCATTTAGGAAGACATTTAGTCATTTAGATTGAAAAAAATAGTTAGTATTTGAATTACTTTTTGTTTGGTGAGAGAGAAAGTTGACTTTCTCTGGCTTAATTTTTGTTTTTGTGGTAATATATGCTTATTTAGTCAACTTCAATGTTTTGCAGTTAAGTTTCTTCTAAGTTCTATGTAGTTGAAAGGGGGGACTCCCTATTCATGTTGATTTCTTCATCCTGTTCCAACTTCAACTTAGAGCTTTACTTATTTGTAATTTTGTATTGCTTTGCTTTGGTGTTGACATGGAGTTCTTAATTTTTGAATCCAACTTTTAGAATGAAAATGGGTTATTTAGAACTGAAATTGAGAATGTTTAGTAGATTTCTGAAAGCTGGAGAAAGGGAAGAAAAGAGTTAAATGAGATGACATGATATTCTCTGCTGTTGTTACTCTCTTTTATGTTCCTGGTTAATTTGATGTTTGGTCAGAAAGAAAATGGAGAAACTTCAAGTGATCAAGTCTTGTGTCTAGGTTTCTTCTGAGCTTTAAGTAGGAGAAAAGAAGGAAGAAGTTCCTCTGTTTTGGTGATTTTCCTGATCCTTTTCCATGTCCAACTTATAACTTTACACATTTTTATTGCTTTGATGTGCTATTGATATTAGGAAGGTCATAAATTTGATCGGTACACATGCCCAACTGAGAAGAAGTTATAGCAAATTGATATTGGCTTGATTTGATATGGATTCTACCGGTAAATATACTGAAGGTGTTTGTGGATGTTTTCATGTCTGCGTTTGAGCCAATTATATAAGTTAGGACCACCACTATGAGACAAATTTTTCTAAGTAGAAAAGAAGGGAGAAGTCTCGTTTTCGATGATATTTTCATTGTCCTATTCCAAATCCAACTTATAACTTTGCAAATTTGTTTTATCTGTTGTGCTGTAGACAATTAGGAGGAAGTTCTTAATTGTGATTGGTGCTAGGCACTACTGAAGAAGATATAGTATATCGATATTTTTTTCGATACTGATTCTTCTGATGATTACACTGTGGGTATTTGGGGATATACTATGTTTTGTGTTTGCTTTGGAGCCTAGTTTTGGAATCAAGCTCCACTGCTAAGAGTGGTCATGAAGTTTCTTGCTCAAATGTTTCTAGTTTCTGTAGCCATATTTATGCAACTTTGTTGTTAAAAATATGAAATTGACATATACGATGAAGAATAGTTTACTATACGATTTTAGAAATATTTTTTTATTTGATATTTATCCAATATTCAAAGTGCTTGACTGGATCTAAACATTTCCAAGCTGCTCTCTTTGTGACACAAGCACGTAGATATGCACCCATTCATGTCCAGGTTTAAAATCTTGTATGCTTGACTGCTAATTTGACCATGAATACAATTGGCTTCTATCATTGTGTGGGTCACTAGACCATGGAACAAGAAAATAAAAAAAATGAAGGTTTGGTACAATCACATACATCTGAAAAGAGAAGTCCAAAGTTATCAAAGATCAAATATGACATTGCAAAGTCAGTGGCCAAGAATTTCTTGAAAATAAGAAAAGCCATTGATATTTCTGAGGTTTAGAAGAGAAAGCGAAGGAAGAAGAACAAAAGTGTTTCAGAAAGCAGCAAAGTATCTAAAAATGATGCTAAGAAGCAAAACTCAGGGGAAGACAACCCACAAAAGGATATTATCACCAGTATGGTGCATGTAGAGAAAAGCCAGCATATCCAAAAGAAAGAAGAAAATGAAGGTTTAGCACAATCACATGCATCTGAAAAGAGAAGCCCAGAGTTATCAAAGGCCAAATCTGACATTGCAAAGTCAATTGCCAAGAATCTTTTGAAGACAAGAAAAGTCATTGATACTTATGAGGTTCAGAAGAGAAAGCTAAGGAAGAAGAACAAGAGTATATCAGAAAGCAGCAAAGTATCTGAAAATGATGCTAAGAAGCAGAATTCAAGGAAAGACAACCCACAAAAAGATGCTACCATCAGTATGGTGCATGCAGAGAAAAACCAGAAGATCCAACAGAAAGAAGAAAATACATATCGGTTAGGTAGCAAGGAACAGAGTAATAGATTAAATGGAACTACCAAAATACGAAGAAGGGGGCTAGTCTTTTCAATAAAAACCAGAAGAATGAAGAAAAGCAGAGAGGTAAGAGAAATAGAAAATGGAACGAGCAGATGGAAAAGTAGAAGAGTTTAGAGATGAATAACAAGAAAAATGAAAAGGGTGATGGCAAGGGAAAGGAGCAAGAAAATAAAATGAAAGAAAAGATTGAGGGTCTAATATTTCTGTGCAGTGCAAGGACCAAGCACATTGTTTCCGGTACCGTGTAATGGGGGTATCAAATGATAAAAAAGATCTCGTGTTGGGTATCAGACAAGGGTTTAAGCTTTTTCTCTATGATTACGATATCAATCTTATATATGGGGTTTATAAAGCATCCTCTTCGGGTGGAATAAAACTTGAGCTTGAGGCTTTTGGTGGGGCTTTCCCTGCACATGTGTCATTTTAGTACTGCCATCTTTAGCTACAATTCTTCGTCATCCTTACCTAAGAGATTTGTGTACAAATTTCATCTTTTACAGGTGCGGTTCAGTGTCCATGCTGATTGTTTTCCTCTGGCGGAGAGTATTTTCAAGAAGGCAATCAAGGAAAATTATAACAATAAACAACAGATTTAAAACCAAACTTACTGCTAGACAAGTGAGAAGTAGTTTTCTCATCTGCAAGTTTGGTGTTGATCCTTTAATATTTTGGCATTAACGACATCTGAATTTTCCCTTTCAGGTTTGGAAACGAACTAAACTGTTTCAACCTGTTTCAGTTCATTCAAGTGTACTGCCTGTCTACTCTCCTCCATCAAGGGTAGCGGGTCGAATACTCGAACACCCTGAAAATAGGGAACCACATGATAGACCAAGAGAATTAAACATCTGCTAGAGACCCTTATGCCATCAGTCCCAGAAGCTATCCTGTTTTATCTCATGGAAGGGACCAGGAAATTGCGTATGGGGGGTTGCCACCTATTCGGAGAGAGGACATTCATCGTGATTTATACCTTAATGAGAATGATTATGGAGCTTACGATTTTCGGGGAGAGAGAAGATACACAAGCTTTCAGCGTCATATGACTCCTAGATTAGGATCTTACCATGAGATTACAAGGAGCAGCCTCTATGTCATCCGGACGTGGTATACAGGGGATCTGTGCCTATGAGGAGATATATAATTCTCTCTGATCCTCTTTACTCGAACGAGAGAGTATCGGACTTACGGTATGGGTGCTACACAAGAAATGCAATCATTTGTTTTTGCAACAACTGCAAACACATCTCTTGCTGGTGCATTGACTTTGGATTCCTATGCTACAGACCCATATTGTAGTAGCTACTATGGTGCGCCATTGTTTGACTCTTACCTGCCACATTCAAGCAGAGACGCACACTTGATTGAGATGGATCATTTGAGGAGGAGAGAAAACAACCAAGGAGATGGCTTGAATCCAACCTATGCCTCCACTATTCCTGCTTCTACAATAGTTTCATACCGGTACCCCATCACTGGTGGACCTTATTCATATAGATGAGGGTCGGAGTTCGATTATCTAGCCCTTATCCCTAGAGACTTGACATTTCAGTTAATGACTTGTTTTCCCCTGTTATTAGCACGCTAGCTGTTCAACTTTAAACTAGTTTTTGTGTTAAATGGTTTATCATGTTACCACACAGGACGTTGCAAATCTAATTGCTTCAAGTCTTTTGGTAGCCTATCTAGTATCTATTCAGCTTGTTGTTGATAGCCAAGCTGTATTAATAGCATTCTGGAAACATTTTTTTCCGAAATATTCATGTTCATCATGTGTTTTGATATGGTATAGAAATTTAATTTAATTTTATCAAAATAGAGATCTAATTTTAATTATTTTTTATAATTTTATATTTAACCTTTTTAAGGATAAATCTATATTTAAATGAATTCAGCTCATGGTTAAAAACTACCCAAATTTAAGGAAAATTTCAAGGCTTCAAGGGAAGTCAAACCTAAAACCTTCCGGGTATGTGCAACACCCAATCAGTAGACTAAATAGGGAAGTTGTAAAATTTTGACAAAAAAATTGTATCTAAATTGTCACAAAATGAATATTATTTATAACTTTATTTATAAAATTAAATTATGATTAAAATTAATTTCATTTTCTTTTAAAAGAAATATAAATATAAATAATATTTATAAGATTAATTTAATTTAATTTATATAAAAAATATATTTTTATATTATTTTATAATTTATTTATATTTAATATATCTTTGTGAAATAAATGAAATTAATTTATTTATCACAATTTGATCTAAATATTTTTTTTATAAAAAATCAATAAATTCTTTATTTTGATGGTTAGGCGTTGCACATACCTTTCTAAAGTTTTTAAGTTCAATTTTCTTCTAATCTTAATATTTTTCTTATTTTAACTTAAATATTATATCTTTAAAACATTTTAACTTTTTTTTTTACTTAATCCAGTGGTTCGGTGTTGCACATGCTCTTACTTTTAAAGGTCTTAAGTACAATCCATATTGAAGTCTTAATTTTTTCTTCTTAATTCATCTTTCTTAAATTGACTTAAATACTATATTTTATCATAGTACTCTCATTTAGTTTGATGCTTTAATATTGTATATATTCCTTAAACGTCCCAAGTTTAATCTAATTTAAGCCTCTTTCATTTTTAGCGATAATAATTTATTAAAACAATATTATTAATAATTTAACAATCTAATAATTAAAATAAAATACTTTTAGTTTCAATGATTGAAATGAAAATATCTTAAAAATTCGATAACCACTCATATATTTTACTCAATAATTCTTTTATCATCGATGTCACTTAATTCATACTCAAAATATATTATTGGTTGGATCAAAATGTGAATTAATTTTTTTCTCACAGATTATCTATTTTTTATTTAAAAAGTAATAAAATATTTGAAATATAACATGTCGATGTCGTCTTTCGATTGGACCCGGAATTGGGCTTCGACTTGAATAATTGGGTTAGAGTCGCCACCGATCACTTTAACAAACATTTAGGCGGATCAGACACATCTTACATAGGGCTATCAATTATCCATGGGTGAGTGGATTATCCACCCACCCGCCCCGAATAAATGGATGAAAATCCGCTGTAAAACGGATGATTGGCGGGTAATGGATGGATCGGGTGATGGGTCGGGTAGGATATGGATGAAAATTTTTTGACCCATCACCCGCAGCATCCATCCCATCCATTAATATATCCATCCACCCATTAATATATCCATCCATCCATATATATATATATATATATATATATATATGATTTCAGAAGCTTTTATCATGTGCTACTATCTTGGAGGATTTTGATGTGGAAGACGAGGGAAGTTCATCAAGTGTAGTGCTTGATGCATATGCTAACTCGGTAAATATTCTTATTCTCTTAATTCTGACTTTTATCCCATTGAAAATATGTCTAATTTTTTAATATTGGTTTATCCCTATTGATACTAGGATGGAGATGACTTTTGAGAAGTGATAGTTTGTTGATGAAGATTTGAAGATTATATTTGGTGTACAAGACTATACATGATGCATCTATTCACTTGAAAAATGTATCACAAATATATTGCACAAGACTATATAAACTGTGTTCCATTTTGTTTTTGTTTGAATTTGATGAAAATTTATTGTTCATGTTTTGGTTTCTATGAATGTTTGAGTATCAATGTTTGGTTTCTATGAATGTTAGAAGAATTTGAGCTTAGGATGTAAAAATAGGTTTTGTTCATAGAATCATTCATTTCTCATCTGCTCCACCCGCGAATGATGGATGGAGCGGATATGGATGAAATTTTTTTGTGGGTGATGGATAGTGTGGATGGAGATTTGGACCGCGGGTGATGGGGCGGATGAAGCTCCACCCGACCCATTGCCAGCCCTAATCTTACATGATCTGTGTTTTACTAGAAATGTGTTGAGCTCGGGAGTCGGTTACGGTCAAGGAAGGATTAGCACCCTTGAACCGCTCTTTCGGTACCAATTAATTTATCAGTTGTCTTTAATTGCGAAAATTAAGAATTTATATTAAAATCTAAAAATCCGATTCGAATTGCTTACCTCTGATTGATTTAAACGAAGACCCTTAAAAAGATATAAATGTTAAACATGTAATGAAATGTCGAATCAGATTAAGATAGAAAATGCTAAATATAAAAATAATAAACGAAACAAGAAGAGAAAGAAAAAATTATAAAATAAATAATATAAGGGAAAAAATAAAAAATAAAACGGTAAAATAAATAAACATAAAATAAAACAAAATGAATAAAAAGAAATAAAAAATAAAATAAAAAGAAAACAAAAAGAAAATAAGAATAAGAATAAGAATAAGAATAAGAATAATATATATATACATATGTAAAGCATTAACAAAAAATAATAATAAAAATAAACAAATAAAATTAGAAAAAAATAAATAAAAATGTAAAAATAAATAAAAATAATTTTTATTCAGTCAAAAATAGATTAACGTCCCCATCGCTGGCGAAATCCCTCACAACCATTCACAGTCAAAAATCCCTCACAATCATTCAGAAATGGAAAATCAACCTCCGAGGGTTAGTTTTTTTTAGTTTTATTTTGAAAATTTTGCATTATTTTAGGTTTTTCATAGTGAGATTGATGATAAGTTTACTGGTAATTTCAATAATAGATTAACCATTTCACTTAGATTTCTTATTAAATTCATTCGATTGCTGCCAATACTGCTAAACTGTTTAGCCTGTGAAGTTAGTATTTTTCTTTGTTTTGTCTTTTGGTTGAAGTAATGCAGAAGAAGAATAGTTTCGAGAATGAAAATCGCAACGCGGAAATAACTATCGCAACGAGAGAATCGCAACGCGAAATAAAAAACGCAACGCGAAACCAAAATCGCATTGCGATTTTCATTTCGCGTTGCGATTCTCTCGTTGCGATTTTCATTTCGCGTTGCGATTGTCATTTCACGTTGCGATTCTCATTATCTCGTTGCGATTTTCATTTCAACCAAAAGACAAAACAGTGTTGCAAATTTTAGTTTCGAGAATAAACTACTATTTATGTTTATTGTTTTTGGTATATCTTGACAGTGTAGTTTTGGTATATCTAACTTGGTATGTTTATTGTTTTTGTAGAAATTTTTTTCGGCTTCATTGACATTAAGGAATAAAGTTAGCCTAGCCACTACAATTGCTTCGAAGCTTTCACCTGCACAAAAAAAATTGTTTGAGGAAACCTGCTTCGGGCCATGGCTGAGAGTACAGCATCCGGGTGGAGATGCTAATTTGACCCATTTGTGGCTTCAGACCATGACTAGAGATCTACCCGACAGTATACAACGTGGTGAGGAAGAGATATGGTTTCATTTTCCACCGGCGTATACTTGTTTTGGGCGGAAGGAGTTCTGCTTAATCACTGGTCTACGATTCGGACACGATGATGTAGGCCAGTACACTCGTCATATCACCCGCCCATCATGGTTATCCAGGGTTTTACCTGATGAGTCAATAGAGAAGCCGAACTTACACGTCGACGACATGAAGAAATTGTTTAATAAGAAAGATGGTTTTACTCGGATGAATGACGTCGATGTTGTCCGAGTATGCCTTCTACTACTTTTGTATGCGGGCTTTTTAGGCAGAGAGGCCAGAAAACCTATTCCTCAGGAGCTAATATTATTGGTAGAGGACCTAAATGCATGGAATCTGTTTCCGTGGGGTTCGTATATATGGAAAGCTACCTGGACTTAGTTGTCGTCTGCCTTTGATGACCGCAAAAGTTTGCGGGGCGATGGGTCGAAATACACTTTGTCAGGCTTTGTTTGGGCCTTTAAGGTAAGAATTTCTATATAATGTTTTCAAAATTATAATTAATTATTTAACAATTACTAATGTTTGTTATTATATTGTTTGTAGATTTGGATATTCGAGGCCTTTCCCGCCATGAAGACATATGCAATAAAAACTTCAAATGATATTCCCAGGGCTATTTCCTGGAAGAGGAAACGTCTGTTGGATTGGGAAGACTTAATACCATATGCGACAATAAATAATGTAAGTTAACACAAATACTATCATATATAAACAAGTTATTAATAGTAGACGTTTAACTTTGTTTGAGTTTTTATAATTTCCATTAATGAGACTGACACCCACGGAGGCTGAGCTTGCCACTGATTGGTGGCAAGCTAGTCAGCGTTTTCTTGATGGCACGAATGATGAGCAGCCTCCACTTCCTCCACTTCGAGAGCCATCACCTCACCCAGAGCCATCACCTGATCGACCCGACTATACACCTCTACAACGAGAGCCATCACCTATCCCATCACATCATCGAGCCTCTTCTCCACCATCACCTCATGATAGGCGACCGACAAAGATGCCACGACTTCTATCTCCCTG